CAAACTTTCCTCATCATTCTGAAATCCTTTATTTTCTGGTTGAAAGACTTACAATCTAGTCATTTCTCACTAGTCTCCCCAGGAAATAAACTTCAGTACTCTCTGTTCTCCCACTGCATTATATTATGGATTGCATATCATTCTATTTTACATTTAAATTACTTTAGAAAACTATTTAAAAAAAAACCAAACCTCTGGACAACAGTAAATTCTAACTGGTAAATTGAGAAAATGTAAACGTTCCTATCAAAACTATTGATGATGTTTCTAGAACCTTGAAGATGGGTAGGATTCAGCGTTGATTAGGCAGTAAGGAAAAAAAGACATACCTATTTCAACCATAATCTTGTTAGGAAGGCAAACCTGTAAACACATGCATAACAAGATGGCTTATAATACAACGTGGCCCATATGAGGTGTTCAAATGTATGGTATTTTAAAAGAATGAGGTTTCCTTCTACAAGAGAGACTGAGGTATCAGCTATTACTGGAAAGCTCACCCTTAAATAAGAGGAGGCCAGTGAAGGACTGATATTAATTTTGTTATAAAATACAGCATGCTTTGATTTTCAATATTTGGCATTTCAAAATAAATCCTTCTATAAGATCTTTCATCCCCATTGTCAATATAGAGAGGACTATTAACCCTCAAAGAAAATTAACTCCAAAAGCTAACCAAAAATACCCCTCAAGAAGTGCCATTTTGTTGTTGTTGTTGAATGATTTTTATAAGACTCTTATAAGTCATGGATAGGATTGACTGTGTAGAGGATATTGTCCCTAATGCAGAACATTCTGTGTGTAGTTTGGAGACATTACTACAAGGTTTAGGACTTACGTCCACAGTACAAAGTATCGGTAAACATAAAATGTGGTCAATGGAAACAAGCGCAAATTTGAAAACACAACAATTATGAAACTATAATTAAAATGAAGATGGGTAGTGTTGAGGGAACAAAATGAGATGCTAAGTGTGGTTTGTAATTAGTGGTTAGGGTTTCCAATGTAACTTGTAAAACTAAACAAGAAAGTGAAATGAAATGTAAAGAAATTATGACTAGGTCCAGGACATAGTATGCATTTCAGAAAGGATAGCCATCAATTCTCTTACATCAATACTAGTAAGGAGATGTTTTGTTCATGGACACACACATTTTGGTAATGAGAGTTCCTAGTTTAGATGACCAAATTGTAATTTGGGTCTCTACGGCAATTCATTCCCGTTTCGTTGGAGTAACTGAGTCAATTGCCACACTAAGTCTCTGTAAAGGCAGTGCAGATGATGGGGACTTGGAGTGGTGACCTTCTATGTCCCCTTGTGAGAGCCAACACAAAATAACAACCCAGCCAGGAAATTCATTCACACGAAAATTTTGTGCTTTTAACATTCCCTTTGTGCCCATGTTTATCTTTCCTCCTAGACCACTGGTTCTCAATCTTTCTTGAAAGTGATAAGCCACTGGACAGCTTTTAAAAACTCCTATGCCCAGATCCTACCCTAAATGGATTGAAACAGAATCTGTGGGGGAGAAGCCCAGGCATGAGTATTTTTCAAAGCGTCTAGGGTGACTCCACTGACCAAAGTTGGAAATACTGCTCTAGAAGACTAGAACACATCTAAAACAGAAACTGTTTTAAGTAATTTGTTCTTACATGTAGGCCTATACATAATATATAGCATAGAGCTTTACTCTGCTTATATGTCTTTGTTGAGTAATATATGAGCGAATGGATGGACAAATAAATTAGTAAACTTAGCCATGATGTAGAGTTGAACGTCCTATAAAGTGAAAAATAATATAATGCCTCTCTACTATTTTTATCTCCCAAATTAACAAGATTTACTCATTGGTTTAGCTATTCAACTTCCCCCAAGTTTTTCTTGGGAGAACTGCTCCCCTTCCATATGTGATGGGCCTTGGGTGGAACATCATAAAGAGAATATTTTTTTCAGATCACACTGAGATGATCTTCACGGTCTACTCTTCATGTATGAGTGATTGAGGTTAACAGCTTTTTTTTGAACCAAGAGTTCACATTCCCACCTGAGCTGGGAAAAACTCAAGCAATTCTGTCACACCAGCTGGGTGTCCTACAGTCTAACTCAGTTCTGACAGTATCTCCCTGGAGATAGCATCAGATCCCATAGGCTAAGGGCTCAACCCCACAAGACTGCTGGCACTGCCCCAAGAACAAGAAAACCACTTGAGATGCCAACTGAAAGCCCAGGGTTTTAACTGTGCTTCTGACTGATCAGCTATCAATCAGAAGTTCCCATGACCCCCTCCTTGGGTTTGATGATTTTAGTAGAGTGGCTCACAAGACTCAGGGAAAACAGTTTACTTACTGTTTACCCATTTATTATAAAAGTATATGATAAAGGATACAGATGAACATCTGGATGGAAGGGAAACATAGGGTAAGGTATGTGGGAAAAAGCATGGAGCTTCCATGCTCTCTCCAAGGGAGCCACTCTCCATGACCTCCATGTGGTCAACCAACCCCGAAGCTTTCTGAATTTTGAACTTCAGGGATTTTTATGGAGACTTCATCAGGAAGGCATGATTGATCATTAACTCCATTTTCATTCCCACACATCCCCCTCCCCCCACCCATGAAGTCAACCTTCATGGTCTACTCTCCATGTATGAGTGGCTCACATTCCCACCCCTCACACCATACCATGCACAAACATGCCACTTTGACTCTACTGATTGCGCACAGAAGAAACCAGGTCCAAATTAAGTAGAGGGACACACAGTTCCCATGCATTTGGGCTTCTCCTCAAGACAGAGCAAAGTAGTAGGCCTAGGGAACAAAGTATAGACATCATTGTCTTCCCTAGGTGTCAAAATGTTGATAATGAAACTTTTCATCTTCCTGATGTTCATAGGGCCCTCAAACAGACATCAATTACAGATTCTAAGGAAGTTTTCAGAATTGAATTTTGAGATGATATAATACGTTGATAATAAATGCTCAATTGATGATAGAAATTTAAGCTTGGAAATATTTAAATTAAATTCAAAAGTTTTTTTTTAATTGTGGAAATACCTATAAGCATATTTTAGCATCTACAACTGAATTTTGAACACTGACAATACAAAACACAAAACATTTAAATTTTATTATAAAGACCTTTATTAAGAAGGAAAACATTTTCTATTTTTTATTTTATCTTATGCCTCAAAGGATCTGTAAATATGGAGTTTCTTCTGAATCCAGTGGAGAGGAATTCTTTTTTCATACTGCCCTCTCTCCCTACATAATTTCCACCATGTCAATCTTGAGATAAGGAAAGTGCTGGATTTTTGCAACTTATAAAAATGATGAAGGGAAGAAAGAAAACAATGGTTTAAGAGAAAAAGGATGCAAGGAGTACAAAGCAATGCTTAGTAAAAAGTTCCTAAAAAGCCACATATAGACACTCAATGATGTTATCATTTCTTATACTTTCTTCACAGATTTTATTCCAGATCTCTCTGATTGTACCTGACAGGTGCTCTCAATTGCAGAGGAAACAACATAGCTGTGAGAAAGTTGTACAGAGCAGTAGGCAATCAACATGCACTGTACAGTTGCGTGGGGTGACAGAATGTTATTTGTACCCTCCTTAGCACCAGAAACAAGTGGAAAGGATGAAGTACTTCCAGGCTCCTTTGCAGGGTCTTGGGCCCTACTGCAGGCTACTTCCTCCTGGGAAGGTAAGTATCACCCACTCCTGCCTGGACTTCCCACCAAGGACAGAGCCTCAGGGATAAATCTGTTGGACTACAGCCAAAATACGCGGATTTTTTTTTTTTTTTCCAGCCATCTGGAAAAAAACGAAGTTGCAAGTTTCTGTGTTTCAAAGGTAAGGCGGGAAAACATGATTAGTGACTTCCTCCCACTTACCGACCAGAGAAATGGGGAGGCTGATTCCAGGTCTTCCGTGCCTCTCCAAGAGCATCACTGGGCTTCCAATTACAAAAAGACAAGAATCCCATCAGGGGCAACCAGCAAGCCCACGTGTTTTCCCTCTAGCCTGATCTTGTGTGTTGATGATTGTTTCCCTATTTACACTTTGATTTACCCCTGTGGTCTTTTTAGAGTCTCTAGGGCTGCCTTAGCTTTGCGAACCCTCCAGTGGGTCCACAGATCATTGGAAGGTGAGGGCTGGGGGCGGAAGCGAGTGACAGAAGGGGGTAGACCCTGCAACCCCTTCGGGTCCCTAGCCCAGTAGCCCACTACAGCGCACAGATGATTCACGCTCCCTGCGGGTTCCCGGTCCCCAGGACCGGCGCTGCGTGGACTAGCCGCCTCCACCAGGGGCTGGGAGTAGGGGTGGGGACGCAGAGATGCGAGCGGGGAGAGCCACCAAAGGGGAGGTGGCGGACGCAGAGAAAGAGGTGGGGACCGCCGCGGAGGGGGCGGTGGGAGCGGGGTGGGGCCGGG